GTCATCACTTGTAAATGCTGTTCAAGAGCACTACAAAGCTCTAAGGATCTCTCCTTTCTCTCTAAGCTTCTCTCTAGCCTCTTCTCTCTCCTAGCCCATAGAGGGGGCACGCCCCAACCTTAGGTTTTCTCTTACTCTTTCTCATCTCATTAAGCCTAAAGGTTGGATAGTAGGGGATAAACTAAACTAGGTCTCGGGGGTCGGGACCTAAGATTTAAGCTTGATGATAGAAAGGGAATTTTAAAAGGTTCCATAAAAATAGTTTAGACTAAATTTGCTATGCCGGCTGAGATTAAAGCTAGATCGTCGATCCCACGCCATTAGATGGTGGTGACTCAGTGTAGGGTGTAATAAGCCCGATTGAGTTAATCTCCGCACTCTTCACTGTTATTTCTTGTAATCTTATCTTTATGTTCTCAAACATAGTGCATAGTTATTTTAGTTTGAAGTATATTTTATTGTAATAAAGACCACTTGTAAGTGATCTTTTGCCAAAACGAAAAAGATAGAAAAAAAAAAAAAATTCCTGTAACAGACCACATTGGTCTTTCTTTCACCCAATGCACTCTTTATTTCATCTACATGAACGATCGCTTTTTTATATTTATTCCATTTGACCATGCTCAAACTTTAAAATATATTTTTTCAAACTTCATGACACATCTAGACTATCAAATTTCACATTAGATGGTTGTAAGTAATTGTGTCCACCTTGCATCAAAGGTAAATAGTCTGATTGTGTACAATCTCTTTTTAAATATTCATATCTAAAATCACTTTTAAATTTACCTTAAGTTTATTATTCTGCCATTTTTGTTAAATTAGTTGTTGCTCATCGTGATATAGAGCATTAATAATTCATTGGTTGATTCGTTCCATGTTTTTCAAAGTTCTTATTTTTCTTGAAAGTTAATATAAATAACTGGTCTCCCTAATACATATACACCATGTAGATCGGTCTTTTCAAGTTGGTGTTCAGGCAAGTTAAAACCAACCATGTTTTCTTCAATTCTGACACGTCATTTTCTATGGCTTCTTTTTTAGCTCTATTTTCTTGTACCAAAACCGAATCAATATAGTCTTTTGTGTGTTTGAAAAAACGAACCAGCCTCGAAAAACCTAATCAATATAGTCTTTTGTGTGTTTGAAAAATCGAACCAGCCTCGAAAACGGGCCAAAGGCGGGTTCCGAGTAATTGGTAAACGGGCCAGTTCAACAAGCTTAATCGGGCAAGTATTGACCGGTCAAAAGTATTAAAAAAAAATACAAAAAAATATAAAAAAAGTCTAAAAATATAGCAATGAAAAGTATTTATAAAACATATTAAACAAGGGTGTAGTTTGCATACCGATGTATATAATTTTGATGTAAAATTTTTTAGGATTACCTCAAAATCTATTTTTATAGTTAATTATAAAATTTTAAATTTTAAAAATAATTAAAATCAAGCAGATCTATAAACATAGGAAAATCTTGAAAATGGACAGTGTACATAACATGTTGTAAATGCACTATTTTTGAGACTTAAAATCTTTTTATTTTTCATAGTCATACATCTCGATGTCGAGATGATCAATCAAAAGGTTTTTCAACATTAAAACTACATTTTCCGATGGATTTTTGAGGGGCATCCATAGTTCTACATTATAAGGTAGCATCCTTATATAAACTTTTTCCATTAAACAAAGCATATCCAAATGAAGTTAAAAATTAGTAAACAAAGATTTTAAAAAAATAATTTGTGCCTATGAATATTTTCTAATTTTTTTTTTTAAATATAAAAATAAGTATTCATTGCCAAAACACTTTCCCTTCTTTTCCAAAATCAGTGGTTTAAAAAACAGATCAGTACTATGGATTGGGCACCCAAAAAACCCATCCGGATCAATGAATGGGCATTTCGGATTGGGAATTGGCCTTAAAAAAAATTCAAAAAAAATATTTAAAATATTATTTTTTAGGAATCCAATAAGAAATGAGGGTACTACATTAATAACTTTTATTTTTTTGCATCAATAAGCGAATGATGTTCTTTTCCTGTATGAAGATTATCATCAAACATTTATTAAATCACAACTAAATATGATATTATACATTGAAATTAGAATGATTGGTTTGTATTTTATTATTTTATCATCATTTTACTATACACATAAAGTGACATCAAAGTATCAAACATTTATTATTTCGTTTTACTCATCCCAAATTATTACAGCCTAACTAAGTATAATAGTCTTTATTGAAATTGAAATTGTTGGTTTATAACTTTATATTTTATAATTATTTTATTATATAAATAAAAAATCTAAAATATCTTATAATATCATCTAATTTAAAAAATCTTATTTACAATTATAAGAAAAAATAATATATTACAAAATTTATAATATAAATAAATTAATAAATAAAGACAAGATTTGGTTGTCAATGTATAATTTTTAATTATAATATAATAATAAAAATGATTAAAAAATATTAGAAAATGCTTCCATAACTCATGCTTAAAAACAAAATAAAATCCTCTATAAATTTTAATATGATCATATTCATATGATTATACTAGCATAAGTCTAACAAGTTATAAAGATAAATAAACAATACAACTTTCAATATAATTATACTAATTTTTGTAAATGAATTAAATATAATTTATTTACGTAATTATATGCCATTAAAACTTAACTATATCTACTTTTATTTGTTGTACATTATTAAATAATTAAATATAATCTTAAAAATATTTATAATTATACAACACCACCTTGGTGAAAACTACGTGCTGTTTTGAAGACGCTTCACTAAGCGATTGAGCAAGTCCCACATCGGGGAATTTAGGACGAGCACGACATAATAAAAGCCTTGGGCTTGCTCAGTTGGCAATCACATGCAACACGTATTGAGAAACCATGATGCAAGAAGGTTTCCCACATAAAAGGTGGTATTCCATGATGATGTAAGCAGGAGTCCCCGTGATGTCGGTCTAATGTCGAGAATAAGCCGATCTTGTTTTTTTGTTGGATCTGGCACTAGTTGGACGATACCCGATCTAGATCGTCTGATTTTGGATCGGGTCGCCAATTTTTAAAACACTGGCAAAAATGATAAAAAAAAAAAAAGTATTACAAATAAATCCCTTATTATTTAGGATTTTATATAAATTTTTTAAATACCCGACCTGATTACCAAAATGGCCAAAATCGAATTAGGCCATTGCTCGGTCTCGAATTGAACTGGCCGATGTTACTAATGTCTGTTCCTAACAATCGTGGATTTGCATCAAAACAACTTGTAATTAGGGTTTACCTTAAGAATCTCTAATAAGAGTATATAATCTTTTGGCATGACGTAAAACTCAAGTATAATTATTTTAATAAAATCTATTTATGAGGGTATATAATAAAAGTTCTTATTTTTTCTTGAAATTCAAGTATAATTGTTTTATTTCTGTCTTACCCCTAATTCAAAATCCACCTAACTCGAAAGCCGTCCAAACATCATAGTGGTTCTAAAGTTGGCGAATTTTTTTTTTTTTTTTTTCTTGCTGGTTTTGAGAGGTTTAAAAGTCCATAAAGGGAAACAATTGGAGGCAAAAGGATAAAAGTGTCGAAAATTTAGACCCCACCCTAAAACACCATAAAATATGAACTATATCTAAATTCTGAAAATTAGTTTGGATCATCCGTACATAGGTTTCCCTTGTTTTCTCATGGATATTTTGAAAATCACCCTGTTCATTGGAGGAAAAATGAAGAAAAGAAAGTGAAACAATTTCATGTTTGTGGAGGAGCATATTGTCTATTTGCTCCCTTAGGCAAAACTCAAGCTCGTATTATTATTTGGATCTCAAAATTTTTGATATAATCTCTAGAATTCAAAGAAAGAAAATCAACTCTCACTCTCTATGTGCCTAGAAAATAATGACAACTGAAGAACATGAATCGTTCACTTTTGGGGGGAAAGATCTAGGTATTCAAAAACTCAAAAATAAAAACTTCTTATCTTAAAAAGAATCATCTACCGATACTAAGATGGATACCGAACTTTTTGGATTAAACGTGAAGGTGAGGTTTGTATAAGGTGTATTGAAGTAAGGCGTACCTCAAAACTATGCCGAAAAAATGCAATTTCGGTACTGTAAAATCTTGTGATCGCATGAAAATCCATTGCCACCCCTAATAGTAAAATTTAAAGTTAAAAAAATGATGCAGATTAAATTGATCTATAAACAATTAATTTTTTAAAAAATAGACAGTCTAAATAATGCGTCTAATCATTAATCCCTGTTACCTACATTACTTCCACTTGAGATAAAGAAACACCCCTGTTGGCCAACGAATTAGGCATGGCATTCGCCTCATAGTAGTCATGAGCAAAAGACTATGGCAATTTTACTTCTTATTACACCATTTAATTACATTTAGAGAATCTCTTCCTACCACAGCAATACTAAGGGTCCTTAAAAACTGATTTTCATAAAAAAATCAAAATCCCTTGATTTGAAGATGTCATACCACATGGTTCAACATAAGTGAAAATTATACAGTAGATAGAAAACACTGCCTGTTCCTAACAGTCGTGGATTTGCCAGAGAGCTTATATGAAAATTAAGTTTTAAGCAATCCAGCAATGGTGGTGTCTTGTCCGGTGATGCGTTTGATTATGTATGTTAATTTGACTCCCCAAATTTACAACACCATAGAGACCCCTTTCCTTCGATGATCAATTTGAGGTTTTTTTTATTGCCCATACATTAAAGAGGTTTTTAGAATCAAAATAACATTTTTAGATGGGTTTTAAGGTGCACCTTACTGCAATGGTATACAGTTCACATGTTATAATATATTGCGCGAGAGTGCCCAAGGTGTTGTTGTACAGTATATGCTCCCGCGGGAGCATTCTATACGCGATCGAAGATATTTGAAAAAATGGAGCTCTGAACGAGGGAGGGGAGAGGAGAGGGAGCGGGGGCTTTAAAGAGTCAGATGTAGCGGCAAAGGGGCGGATTCTAGAGAGAGAGAGGCAAACTTTAGAGGGAGAGAGAGAGGGGGAAACTGTAGAGAGAGACAGAGAGGGGGCTTTCGAGATGAGAGAGAGAAGCTGAGAATGGGGCTTTTGTTAGGGCTGGGGTATAAGTAACAGTGGCACTTTCTTTGAGACTGTGTTTGGTTTACAGTTTCTGAGACTGCTTTAATGAAAATTCCCTCTTTTTCTCTTTCTAGACTGTAGTTTCCAAACCCACAGATATTCTCTCTCTATCTCTAAGTTAAACTTTGGGAGAACTTTTTGATTCAGGCCATGCTCCACTTGTGCTCCCATGTTGTAGTCCCTTGGACCTCCCATTTAATCCAGAAAACATCATCTCTGTTCTTCTGCTCCTCATTTTGCCCTATATGGACCCACTCAAGAGGTCCGAGCTTTGCACCCAAGGGCATTGCAGCCGTGAATGAACGCGACGTGCGCTGCTTCTCCGTCAAAAGCCTACGGAAGCCGACAACTGCAGCTGTCTCCTCTGCAACTCGACAACAATTGCCGCCAGGAGAAGATGAGGAGAATAAACCATTTTATGTTGTTCGCAAGGGGAACATCACCGGCATTTATAAAACATTGGATGACTGTCGTTCCCTGGTTTGAATTCTTTGCTAGTTACATTGTGTTTATTCTATTGTTATTTATATCTTGTTGACTTTACTCCAGTACTTTTCCTTCACACAACCTTAGCTCAAGTTTGTATGGGATCATTCATTCTTTTATATGTTATATCACAAATCAATGTAAATGTGTTAACAATTTACTCCACTACTTCTCTTTCTTATAGATTCAATCATGGATTTCTTAAAAAAATAAAATTTCATTTTTTTGGTATCACAAGGTTAAGAAATGTCCTTCAATGAGTGTAAATCCTTTTAAAATATTAAAAAAGGAAAAAATGTGAACAATCACATACTTGTATATGTTTTAACGCAATCTTAGCTCAAGTATGTATGGGGTCATTCATTCTTTTATTTGTTTTTACACAAATCATTGTAAATGTGTTAACAATTTAAAAAAGAAATCCCTTGAACAACATCATTCAAGTTTAATGTGCTCCCTTCAAAAAAATAAATAAATAAATGAAGCAAAATAAAATTCAAGATTAATGTGCTAGTTGAGATAAATGATTTATTGTCTGGATGTAATGCTAGTAGTTCAATAAAATATACAAATAGTTTGAAAAGCCAGAGACTTCTAATTATGCTGTATTCTGTGCACAATAAATTGATGTAGCTTTTGTCCAGAGGCGATGGATGTTATACTTGAGCTATTAGCTATATTTCTTGTCATTATAGTAAAATTTACGTCCCAGGTCGGTGCTCATTGTTGCTGAGTCGTTAGCAACAGGCCTTCTGTTGTTTTTTGACAAAGAAACAGGTTATCTTCTGTTGTTTGTGGCTTTGTGCCGCTTACCTGTTTATCGTGTCTTTCTCCCTATCCCTCCAATTTCCTCTTGCTGATGAAGTTTTTTCGAAATACAACCTTGATTTTACATGTTTCAGGCTTTTACTGCTAATATATTAATAAACATCGCTGTTGGTTATTTGTTTGGGACTGACACTACTTTTCCTGTTTGTTCATTCAAGTAACGAAGATGCACATTCCCTAAGGGAAAATGTGTATTGATCAGTCACTCATTATTTACTTAAAGTTTTGAACTATGCTGTCATGGAAAATAGTTGAGGTCACTTTTGAATGAAGGAAATTCAATTGAATGCTACTGTCCATCCATGGTATTGCTGCCTAGAAGAAAAAAATGTTTTTGTTGAATAATGTTGTAATCCTTATAATCTGTACATTATTTGGAGATTATTACCTGTCAAAAGAGAGTCTTTTGATATATGAGATTGTATAAGTATGATTTCTGGATTTTTCTTTTTCTAATCAACTATTGAAAAAGTAAACCAGCCCCTTTCCTAAAAGAAAAGAAAAAGTGAACTTCACGTTGCATCCTGTGCGCGACCAAGGATACGCAACCTTAAGAACAGGATTTCATGGTGGGCTAAGAGAATCATCAAAAATAGGAATGTTGACCCAACATCTTACGAGTGAGTGAAATTGCCTCCCTGTTAGCTTCTCTTATCCAGTGGGTTTAAAAGATAAACTTTTCCTACACTAGAAACTACTTTCATAGTATTAGTTATACAATTTTCGTACTTTCATAGTATTGCTTCAAAACTAGTCAAGTTGGAGGTGTAAGCAGCTTTCAAGGCCTTCAAAATTATCCTGCCCCTACCTACCGTGTATTTCTTACATACCCTTGGCCCTTTCAATATTTCTACGAAAAGCCATCACCCTTGCATTGTTTCACTAGGCATGTCGCAATACTAAGTTACTAACGTTCTTGGGATTTGATAGGATCCAAATACCCAGTTCCTGTCACATCCAATCCCACAAACACAAGCCTCCAAAGAAATTAGCGAAACCCTGGTGTATCCACTTAGATCTGCTTTGTCAGACTAAGGGAACATGCATTGGTTTTAAGTACTGATGGGATGCTTTTATGCCTTCAAGAAATGGCCAGATAGTTGATGCTAAGAAAGACAAAGAGAACTGTCATACACAATAGAGGAATCTCCTTTATCTGAGTTTCTGAAATATGAAATTCTAGAAAATGAAAGTTGGTTTGTGAAGTAGAATCCTTGGATGTTCTTGTGAAACACAATAATTCCGGGCAAAACTACTTTAAACAAATCAGGGCAAAACTGATTATGTTGCTCTCACAAATGAACCGTATATGCATATCTGTATGCATGCACTCGTGCATAGAATCATGGATAAATGTGCTACTTCAAGTGACAAAAACTATCTTTAGGGTAGCATGCTACAACAAGGATTATGAGACCAATTACGGATATTTGCAAAGGTAGATTATTGGTTGCTTTTGTGGGTTCTTTGCTTTATTGTATTCTTGCTAGGTGATTTGTGCTACCTATCTTTAGCTATCTTTTGTCTCTAGTGTGATTATTTCTTTGACGTCTTCTTTGTGCTGGTTGTTATAGTTCTCAAATGTTTTTTCAGGTATATGATCCCTCTTGCAATGTCTTCAAAGGATTTTGCCTTCAAAAAGAGGTTGAAGACTATCTAACTGCTCGTGGATTGAAAAGTCCTTCATTCTCCGTAAGCTCAACGGATGTGACAGATGATTTTCTTGGGACCTTAGTTCCTCTCGGGACTGCAATTCCATGTCAAAATCAGGTTCCGTGTCAAAATCAGGTCTTATATCTCTCTAACATTGTACTTTCCTCGGAAGGCTAGAAATCTGTTTTTATTTTTTTGCAGGATTGTGTTAATACCCTTTTGGTATCAATGTATTTTCATGTTTGCATAGACATTTTTAATTATGGGTGTGGTTATATAAGGCCTCCCATCGTAAACAGTCAAATTGAGGTGCACCTCCTAAACTTTCAAGAAGATGCAGCTCTGGTAATGCAAACTCTTCTGATAGCTCGAAAATCTGTTTTCACTCCTAATTATGAAATTTAAAGCTTCAAAAATAGTGTGGATTGAACATATTTATAAATATTTCAAAATCTTGAAAATGGACGGTCTAGATGATGATTATTTTTACGAATTGAAATACTTTTTTTTTCATATCCATACATCTTGAGTTGAGATGATCATTTGGAGGGTTCTATGGAGTGGAACAACCGTTTCCATTGGATTTTGAGGTGTGCCTCACTTCTATAGTATAAGGTTGACACCTTATATGAACTTTTTCCTTTAATTAGTGAATTATACTTGCCCTTAATTGTGGATACTAAAAACACAGTTGTTGTACAGGTGATAACTTATTTCTGGCGTATAATGTTGTATTGGGAGGGAGGGAGAGACTGACCTTAGCCATGGTTACTATCAAAGGGTGCCGATTGCCTGTACCCCCTCATCACCGTTGAAACCTCCCAATCGGCCATTTACAACAGATTAAGGAATGTATTTTGTTTCATTTAGAAGATATTATGGGAATGTATGTTGTCGTTTCCTCGGTAGAACAAGGAAATTAGGTCCTTTAGAGATTCACTTGTTAAACACGCTCATGGAGAGGATCAATTTAGAGTCCTGTAAAAGTATGTTGTCGTTTCCTTGGTAGAGCAAGGAAATTAGGTCGTCCTTTAGAGATTCAATTGTTAAACACGCTTATGGACAGGATCAATGTAGAGTTCTATATTTCTAAACAGGGACAAAATTCTGCCCCAATTTCAAGATGGGAAAAGTTTTGCGGTCATTGTCTCAGATCTAAATGAGAAGTGTATTAAGGGACGTATTTTGTTTCATTTGGAAGATATTATTGGATTTTGTGTTCTCCTTTCCTAGGTAGATCAAGGAAATTAGGTCCTTTAGAGATACAGTTGTTAAACACACTCATGGAGAGGATCACTTTAGAATCCTATATTTCTAAACAGGGGACGAAATTCTGCCCCATATCAATATGGGAAATTTTTTTCGGTCATTTTCTCTGAACTACATGAGAATTTTGAGTTAATGGAAGTTGAACTAGTGAGAATTTTGAGAATTTAAAGAAGAACTAGTGACTTTACATAATAAAACCCTCCATGATCATTGAGGTACAAAGAGATTTTGCGATGAATTCCATGGATGAAAGATTCTGTAGTTTTCATTTTCAAACTTAGGTGCGTCGTTGTTGACAAATCCAATTCAATTAGGTATTGGAAAATGGGATCGTGATCTTCCCTTGTGAAAGTTTCCAATAAAAAAGTTACTATATGGATTTGTTTTCCTAGTTCGCCTCACTTTTCTTGGGAGCTTGACATATTGTGTAGAATGGCTTCTGCTGTTGGGTGTCGTGTTATTCGTGGTCAAGGTGACTCCCCTTAGGGTGAGTTCAATGTGTCAGACATGGTGGTGAAGGATTATGACTCTGTTTATATATGATATCATTAGGGGAAGGTCTTGCAAGGAAATGCTACTACTCTTTGATATGAGGATAATTCCGCAGCTCATAGTCTGCCATGTGTAGTTTTGTGAATTTCCCATGCCCTCTCCCTTTCGACGACTCCTACAAGTTACCTCGGAAGCACCTTTAGGCTCTTCCTGATTTTCCTGAACTCAACGAATTAATTTATTCCTACAATATTTTAGGTTCTATATGTTCTAAAGTCTGTGCTCTTGTTGTTTTTATCTTGTAGTATTAAACTTGGTCCACCAATCTCTGGTGAGCGTTCAAATTTCGGCTTGTAAGCTGATGGTTTTCAGTCCTTGGTCAAATGTAAATTTTTGATTTTTTGACAGTAAATTGTGTGGAGGTTGAGTTAGTGAGTGAGAGTTTACTTATGTGATTCTTATCAAGGGCAGAGATTATTGCCTACCTAATGTTAATGACTTGTGAGTAGACTACTGCTGGGACATTACAATTCAAATCTCAATTCTGCACAGTTTAATAGAACATGGATTTATCTAGTTTTTGACATACACGAACATCTGTTTAGAAATACTCTGCATTTATTTAGTTTGTTCTTTAAATATCGGAATTAGCATAATTGTCTGTTTATCTGAAAAGCAGAAGGGATCATGTGTCTTTAGGAATCAAACGAGCAATTTTCTTCCACGAAGGTGAGAAGTAAGAAGTCCAAACTAAAGACATTGAAAGCAACAATTGCTTCTATCAATGATATGGTGAGATGTAGCTGCTCTTGTGATATGAGGATAATTCTGCATCTCATAGTCTGCCATGTGTAGTTTTGAGAATTTCCATGCCCTCTCCCTTTCAATTGGATTATCTGGCTTTGCATTCTATCTTATTACATATAAAGTTATCTTATCCCTTTCAAGATTGACAACGTTTTGTACTTCTGCCTAGCATTTCAACTCCTACTACAAGTTACCTCGGAAGCACCTTCAGGCTCTTCCTGATTTTTCTGAACTCAACGAATTAATTTATTCCTACAATCTTTTAGGTTCTATATGTTCTAAAGCCAGTGCTCTTGTTGTTTTTATCTTGGAGTATTAAACTTGGTCCACCAATCTCTGGTGAGCGTTCAAATTTCGGCTTGTAACCTGATGGTTTTCAGTCCTTGGTCAAATGTAAAGTTTTGATTTTGGACCGTAAATTGTGTGGAGGTTGAGTTAGTGAGTGAGAGTTTACTTATGTGATTCTTATCAAGGGCAGATATTATTGCCTAAGTAATCTTGTGATAGACTACTGCCCGGATATTACAATTCAAATCTCAATTCTGCACAGTTTAAGAGAACAAGGATTTATCTAGTTTTTGACATACGCGAACATCTGTTTAGAAATACTCTGCAGTTATTTAGTTCATTCTTTAAATATTGGAATTAGCATTGTTGTCTGTTATCTCAAAAGCAGAAGGGATCATGTGTCTTTAGGAATCAAACGAGCAATTTTCTTCCACGAAGGTGAGAAGTAAGAAGTCCAAACTAAAGACATCAAAAGCAACGATTGCTTCTATCAACGATACGGTGAGATGTAGTTATTGGGTGCCTTTCCTTATTGCTAAGAAGTTGAAATCTGTTATTTGTTAGACATTTCTGTCCTATCATTATGAGTTAGCTAATAATCCTGTTTACTTTTTAGGAATGGAGTGCATTGCGTAGTTTGTGCAGTTAAACCATGAATTTTGTGATTCTTCAATCTATGAAAATTACTTCTGTTGCATATTGTCTTGCCTGACAAATATTTAAATTATGTAAATTTCATAGGAAGCAGTTGATTCTCCTCCTGTTCAGAAAAAGCAGAAATTAAAGAAAATGAAGATCAAAGAGCCGGTTAGTTATCAACCTTTTGAAATGCTTGTCGGACATGTCATTGTCTCTCATGCAATATTATTTTGTCTCCATTATCTCATTGATCATGAGGGAAATGAGCCTATTATGTTCTAATCTTGTGTGTTGCTTTGGGATCAAAGCAATTTGGGTAGTTCACAGATTTTATTTATTGAAAGGTTGTGATATTTAGCGGACTCTTACTGTGAATTTCAAGGATTTTAAGATGGATTCAGTTTCTCATATTCAGTTTTGCTGTTTGTGACTAAGTAAATTAGAATCTTAAAATCTTTCTTCTAATGCAAAGCATGTATTACCTTCTGTTATCCAAGACATTCACTGCAGGTGCCTAGATGGCACCAACAGGTGAGGATGGCACCTAGGTTCCATGCGTCTGCTAGCTTGGCACTCCATTACTATGAAACTTGTATTAGATGGCTTTATGTAAAAAGTTGTGGTACCTAGTAGGCACCGGTAAGGTCAACAACCAAGCTTGTACCTGGTTAATCTAGTAAATGGGGAAATTGATGATAATCTTAGGTCCCGTTTAGGCTGGCTGCTGCTGACGTAACAAGTGCTTTGGGTCCCAGTTTGGTTTGCTCCCAGCCTACGCATGGTTATGTCCCGTTTCATATCCCCTCTCTCTACATGGAGAACATCTCAAAACACTAAATACATCAGTAGGATCAACAAAAAAAAGTGTGTTTTCTCCAGTCATGGATAGTAAAGTGGATGGTATATTCAAACTGGGCCTTAGGTTGCGTGAAACGTTATCTGCCTTTGCCTGAAAATTTTGATTTTTTCAAAATAACCATTGAGGTTGAGGCTAATGGTATTGAGGAAAACTCTTTCATGGATAGTACAATCCTTCATTTCCTCATTAGTGATTCATCTATTGTTTGTCTTATGTAATTTCCTTATGTTTACTTTTTGCTGGTTTTCAGGTCCTTCTTGAGTTTGATGGTTCATCTAAAGGAAATCCAGGAAGGGGAGGTGCGGGGGCTATACTGCGAACAGATGATGGAAGAGTGGTATGCTCGGTTTTGCAGTTCAGCGTCTTCAAGTTATTGTTAATATAACATTTTGGACCGTGGTATACCTTTTCAGGTAGCTATTGTGGTACTTAAATTTTTTTCTTAATTTTTATTTTTAGATTTGTCGGATGCGTGAAGGTTTGGGCATTGTGACGAACAATGTTGCTGAATATCGAGCTGTCATTTTAGGCATGAAATGTGCACTAAGAAAGGGTGTCACCCAAGTGCAAGTACAAGGTGACTCCAAATTAGTTTGTATGCAGGTATGCCTCCTCATAAGGCCAGAACCATGTATGAAGTTTCTGATGATCTGATCATATTTTTTTAGTAGTGGTGATGAACGTCATTTTATTTGAGTGTGCTTTTCCTGTACTTTTTGTTCATTCTTCATTCTTGTTGTACTTGCATTCGCCATGCTCATTTTATTTTCCAAACTATAACGAAACTATGACAAAGTTTAATATTTAAGGTTGTTTATATTTACTGAAAGCTGTTAATATTTTTTGCTTGGGTGACACACCAAGGATACAATACACTTCTTTGACACTTCAGAATCTTAGAAGTTTTTGATTAACTTATTTTGTTGAAATTTAGTATGGAAATCCTTATTGCCAGTGATTTCCCACATTCCCTCAAAATGATGCAAAGGCGTGTTGTGTCTGAAAGACCATATTTGGGATTGGTCTTTATAACACTTGTATTGGCAACGGATTTGACACGCATATATCCCTATCCTTATAACATAGGCTTCACTTCAACTGTCTCACTGACCTCATTCCATGCTTAAAGGGGTCCAGCATGCTATATCCTCTGAAAATAGTTTTCCATAGCACTTCCCTCTAATCTGCTCAGTTTTGATCGAGGACTCCAACTGTCATCCATCAAAGATGCATCTGTTTTGTCCTTTGCTAGGGGTCACTTTCTCCGAAGTGCCCTTCGAATCCTGAACTATTCCAACCTGTAAGGAGTATCGCTACAGTCTATGGTGCCATCCATGTAGAACCAAACAAACCGAAGAAAAGAGTCCATATCCTCCTGCCAGAAGGTTAATGGAGTAACAAATGGTCTGCCATATCTTCTGTCTGCTTGCAAAGAAAATTAATGTTGGGAATCTCAAAGCCACGACCAGTCTTACCCCAACAGGCAAACTCTCCACTTTGGGGCTTATGTTGGGTGTCTTTTGTGTTGGCACTAGCACACATGTTGACATTTGGAGACAGGGTTTTGAATTCAAATTATTAGAGAGCTCAAACATGAACTCGAAGTTGAGACCTCTTGACTGAAATGGATACGCTCTACAACCTTGTCATGTGCTAACATGTACACATAATGAAAGCTATATTGCATATACCAGAAAAATGTGTTTTGTATTTAAAATAATTACACTATGGACATGTCTTGCCGTATCAGCTTTTCTGATTAAACATACTAGGCACCTTAGACACGTATTGGACACCGACTCTCGTGTCGGTGTCAATTTAACACTGGCCACAATGTTGTAGATGGTCATTGCTTAAGGCCTTAGTTAAAGAAGTGATCCACACTACTCAGGGAGGAGCTAAGTCGTTTAACTGTCGGAGGAGCTAGAGATAGTGTAGCCACTTAAAAGAAAAGTCTAACCCTTACCCTCCAACTATGGGCATTCCTCACTTCACGTGCTCTTCTTAAAAAGTTTCTTAACTAAATAATTTTGTAGTCTGCTGATGCCGTAGCTGTGTATTATGCTTTCTTCTTGTACACTTGTAACAATTCTATGTTTTTTACTTTACTTTGAAATCACTAATTAAACTGTCTCTGAGGAAACATGCAGTTCCCAGAAGTAAACTTCCTGTCGTCCCGATACAGTCGCTCAGTCAGCTTGAATACATACAATGAGTTTAATGGAGTTAGAAGACGATAGCATTCCGTCTTCTATTGATCCTTTGAATAGCATAGTACGCAGTCGTAATGAGTTGTTTCCAATTGGATAGAGCTAGGTGGGATGATGCATGGGTCAGCCAGTCATCCAAATCTGTAGGCGACATTAGGTTGTTAGTTGGTAGATGAGTTAGCTTTCCCCCAAGCCTTTCCTAGGACCAAATTATTTATATGTTTGGGTGGATTAATACTTTCCAATGCCTTTTACCCACTGTCGTCATTTTTCTGTATTAAGATTGAAACTCCATGCTTACTTTCACATTCCCATCAATCTCAACCTCAGATTTTCTGATTTGTATTGACAAAAAACAAGAAAAATACCTAGCATTGATTGTAATCAGTTTGACTATACATGGATTTTTGGTTGCTTTTGTATACGAGATGTTTGTTGAGCTTGGTTTTATGTTATTGTTTGCACTTTTTTGGTTCAAGTGAGGAGTCTTGGCATACAAGGTTTGGTGTAGGCTGCTACTTTATTGATTATCTGTTGTGATATTGAAATTCAAGTTCGCGTTATCTGCTCAAGTTTTTTCTTAATGTGATTAAGTTTGTTAAACTTCATTATTTTTGTTGTTATTTTTTTTTTTGGAAAATATTAACTGTTATTTTTGTTGTTGTTATTATTTGTTTACGTATTTATTAACTTATTTATTATGATTTGAAGGTCTTGTATGATGACAAGTTTTCTAGTTCATGGTTTTACATTCTCATAACGAATAAGTTAGAAAGGAGCACATTAATTTTTGGGAAAATATCTCCGTAAAACCCTGTTTTTGGATTTCATTTCTCAGCTGACCCAAGGTTTCAAAACATCTCTGGCTCCATAGGGATTCCATTTACTATATCTTCTAACCCCCTGGACTAACTTTATCTACTTTAGCCCAATCTTTTTTAGCCCAAACAAATGTTAAAAAGACATGTCTTTTTTAACCCCCTTCTCTCTCTCTTTCTGTGTTTTTTTTTATAATCGTTAACTTTCTCTCTTCCTGTGTTTTCTCCCCAAACTTCGCTTTTTCTCTCTTCCCCTCTGTTTCCCCAGTTTCTCTCTCTAAATCATAACCCATAAACACTTATTGATTTTTTGTTTTTTTTAATATTTTGCATTTCGACCATTCCGGATCTGCAATCCAACACAGGATCGGTGAAACATAAATTGTTTTTGTTTGCTTTGCTTAATTGTTATTGGTCTAAGTTGATTTTCTTAGAGATCTATCTGTGTGATTTAGCAGATTCAGAATTTATGGAGAACCAAGCATCATAACCTCATCAAATTAAGTAAGGAGGCACAGGAGCTAAAGAAAAGATTTTCATATTTTCAAATCAATCATGTGGACAGGGTACTCTCTTATATTTCTTCTTAATACCCCATAGATCATCCGATTCAGAAACATGAGGTGATTATTATTATTACTTGTTACTCTTGCATGTGTTACTCTCGAACCTAAGTTATCAGGCAGGACAATGGTAGTGATATTCCCCTGAATATGTTTCTCTTCTTACCAATTTTTGCTTATGTTTTCTTCCCAAGACCTACAAACCAGTATCTCACTGGTTGCTATCATCCACACATTAGTTTGATTATCTTTCCTTAATATGCAGGATTTAAATTCTGAAGCTGATGCTTTAGCAAACTCAGCCGTTGAGCTCGAGGGTACTGGATGCGTTTCTCATTTTCCCTTCTCAACTAGTTGATGCTATATCTATGCAAAGGCATCAAATGGATTCTTTGCTTAAAAATTAATTCGTGTGCAGTGGATGAAACACAAGAAGCATGTGAGGATGAAGTGGCAAATAAGAAAACAAAAAACAAAAACGGAAGTGGCACACATTGATGGAATCACTTGAGGTGATGCCTTCCCTTAATTTTCTTAACTCATGAACTGAATTATTTACCCAATCCTTGACCTTGAAGGGCTAAGCTAATACTGCGTTTCCATGTGGGAAAATGTAATATGATCGATATTGTTGTCGTAACAACAATGATTATGTGGTTTATCACTGACCAATACTGGATAAGAAGTAGGCACGTACAGTCCATTAATTGAACGATGTGATGGGACTCATTCGCCTGAATCATTGTCCTACTAATTTGATAGAGCGGTGACAGCCTCTTAAGTCATGTAGATCATATTATACTGGCCATTGCAATTATCTGTTATTTGGAATTTGAATATAAAGGTAACTTATTGGCAAATTGTTGTTTCAGGATCATGGAAGGCGTTGGGTCTGTACCAGCTGTGTTACCAAAGAGTTTGTGCAGCATCTGCTGGAATATTCATTTAGGCAACAAATTTTGTAAAGGGCAAAGTTTAGTTCAAGATGTTCATATATTGGTTTGCCCTGAAAGAAATTTAGGGGCATACAAAGTGATTTATTACCTACAAGCAGTGTTGGAAATCTCCACGAGTCAGACTTGGACTTGTCGGAGTTACTTGGGCTCGGCAGGCTGCCGTGTCCCAAACCAAACACATTGGAGCCAGCTGACTCTGGTCAGTTCCCACTATTTTTGGACGTAGCCGAATCTCCAATAGACTCGGCTATGTATGTCTGACCCAACTTAAGCTCGAGAGCCTAGCAAGTTGTGGTTCGAGCCCTCATTCTTCTAACACTGTCTGTAGGTATACTTGCTCACGCAATGCTAACAAAAGAAAGAGAGTTTGCACTTGGAATTGCTGCATTTATGTTACCTTGGCATTGCCAGGGGAATTGCTTTGTGTAGTATTTCTTATACACTGTTTCATTTAGGGTCCAGCACCATCAGATAAGGGCATCAGTCCTATTCCGTGGACTGCTACCCCTTTTTTAATAGTTATTCTACACGAGAGAGAGAGAGAGAGAGAGAGAGAGAGAGAGAGAGAGAGAGAGAGAGAGTAGTAAGTTTAGTTAGTTACGTTAGTAGTAAGTAGTAAGAGTAGTAGTTAGTTAGTTTAGTTAGTTAGTTACGTTACGTATTAGTAGTAGTAGTTA